CGCACGCTGTCGTGTCTGGAGCGGTCGAATGCGGAATCTATGTTCACAGGTTGCAAGGCAGTTGATTTGAGTTGCTAAGTTGTTCAGAGTTAGTTTTAGCATGTTTCTATGCACTTGCCAGGGTTTTTTTTTGGGAGGGGGGGGGGGGGGGGGGGCGGGGGCGTGGGGGTCATGGTTTAAAGGGATAGTTTCCCCCAAAATGCAATTTTGTCTTCACTACCCTCAAGTTGTTCCAAACCTGTATGAGTTTCTTTTTTCTGCAGAACACAGAAGAAGATATTTTGAGGAATGTTGGTAACCATGTTGACGGTAGCCATTGACTTCCATAATAGGAAAAAAAAATACCATGGAAGTCAATGGGGTACGACTGTTTTGTTACCAACATTCTTCAAAATATCTTCTTTTGTGTTCAGCAGAAAAAAGAAACTCATACAGGTTTGGCACAACATGAGGGTGAGTAAATGATGACAATTTTCATTTTTGGGTGAATTGCATCTTTTTATCCCGGTCTTCTAGCCTGACCAGCTAAAAAGTGTCTACAATCCTTTCTAAAAGCGTGCCAGAGACAAATTAAAATCAGCTGTTTCAAACTTTTTTTCTTTTTTTTCTTTTTTTACTGTGTGTGTGTGTGTGTGTGTGTGTGTGTGTGTGTGTGTGTGTGTGTGTGTGTGTGTGTGTGTGTGTGTGTGTGTGTGTGTGTGTGTGTGTGTGTGTGTGTGTGTGTGTGTGTGTGTGTGTGTGTGTGTGTGTGTGTGTGTGTGTGTGTGTGTGTGTGTGTTTTCAGTAGGGTGCTTATTTTTGTACGTTTTTTTGTATTATTTTATTTTATTGTCAGCCATGATGTAGATAATCTCCCCAGCAACACGCAGATTTTGAGGAATTGAGTATATGAGTTGAGTTTTGTGCTAATTTTGCTTGTTTGTCACTATTGCTGTGATGCTTACCTTAGCAAGAACACCTAACTAGTGATGGTACAATACAGGCAAACAATATCACATATCTATGACTAAAATAATTAATTATAATAACTAGTAATAATAAATTGGTTTTTCCGTTCCTTCAGTTTGTTTGTCCTCCATCGCCCATATTACACATCGACCACATTTTGAAGTGTGTACACTAAAACATGGCTGAACTTTAAGACTTGTTTGGTAAACTCATGGCATTGGCTATGTCACCATGCCCCTGGACACAGGTGACTCACGTCAGACCCCATCCCGCTGTTGGGAGTAAATAGACGAACACGTGGCCTGGAATGTGGTTTACAGGAAGGACACTTGCATGTCCTTGTCACATTAATGCACAGTTTCTGCGCCACCCAGCTTTTCATCCATTAAGAACAAAAATGCGGTTTATTAGCCCAGTGGTTCCCAACCCTTGTCCTAGAGTAGGCCTACTTTTTTGATATCTCTCTAATCTGCCTGAGGTCTTGGGAGTCTTTACAAACGATCCGATGAGTTGAATCAGGTGTGTTTGATTAGGAAGACATCTTAACCAAAGCCACTTGAAGGCAAGCCAGCAAGGTTGGCAAAAAAAAAGAAAAGAAAGCATAACACCTGCTAATGCTGTGGTAAGCAGTAAAGGAGACCAGAGGCTGTTTTTTTATGGATGTCAATGGAGGAGTCTTCTCTAAACTGAATAAACTGCTTTTGTGGGAAAACGGCTATCAGTTAATGAATCAACAGCCTATCGGCTAATCTTCAACATGTTTGCTCTTAAACATTCGTTTTGGATTGATCTATTTTTAGAGTTTACACGGAACAAATGTTGTTTTATAAGAGAAGTCACTGACAATTGCACGGCATGTGGGATTCAGTTTACGCCACTTCTCATTCATTTCGGGCAAATTCCAATCGGAAGTGAAGTCCCTATGCCCCACTCATTCCGAAGGGGAGAGCCCTTGAAGTGGGGACTTAGGACACTTGTCTGTCATAACAAAGCCGTTTGGAACGCACTTTAGCAATGAAAGACCACATCATTTCCTAGCTTCACATGGATTGGTACCACTACAAAGCTAGGCAGCGACAACAGGAATATTTTATTATTATACACAAATATATAAATATAATAACAAATATATATGTTCCCAATCTGCTCTTAACTTTTAAATTTAAGAATTAAACGTAAATCATTAAAAACGTTTCTTAAATGAAACTTTTATAAACTTAATATGAAATGCATGACATGGGTGATATATATATATCGTGGTAATGATGTGGGTGATAAATGGGTGATATATTTCACAACAAAACAAAACACCTTGAATTATTCTGTTTATAGACCTTATGTAGCCCCGCCCATTTTCAGCGCTCCGCTCTTTGTATTCTGTCATCCGGTTTGTATTCCCACAGCATGAAGGTAAGATCTTACGGATTTATGAATGAACCGCTCCTTTTAAAATCTTCCCAGTCTACTGACATCCGCTTCAAACATTACAATCCTCTACAATAAGTAGCAAAATCCACTTCACCAGCTACTTACTCTTTGACAGCCATGCCATAGAAGCTTGTGGAAGGGCCCTTCGTGAAGGGATTCAGTTGTTCACTTTCGTTTGGAACGCTCCTACAAATAACGTCCCCTTCCCGAAGTGCCCTTCAAGGGTGCAAAAACGTCGTTTGGTATTCGCCCTTCTATGGTGGCCTATTCGCATACAGTGATTGACTGTCGCACAACTCTGCACGAAATGTATTATACTGAGCTCATCAATGAGGCATCAAAACACCAAACATCCAAACAGAGTTCCTTTGCATTTCATATATAACCGGTGTCAGAAAAATGTCAGTATTGTTTTTCATTGTTGTTCTTCCATGTATATAGTAGGCTACCTCCTCAGATCTGGACTAACTGTGGTCTTGGTCCCTCAAGAGACAAGAAAATCTTGTGTAATCCAATACAATGATGAAATGTGAAGCCAAAGAAATTGTATTATCCATGTCTTCCATGCTTGCTTCCTTTATGTGCCTGCAGTCTTAAGCGTCAGCCGCCCTGTTCTCTGGTTTTGGGAAATGGATGGACTGAAACCCATCTCTTGTGCTTATATACATGATTTGGGAGTAAAATGTGCCAAAAAAACAACAAACACCATGGGAGTAATAGCATTTCGGTATTAAATATTTAAGATGTCAACACAGACTAAACAAGCACCAGGAATCTGGGCCTAGTGAAATGAAAGATATCCACAGTGGAGTCTGTTTATCAGTTTCAACACCTAACAACACTGTGTTGCCTCACCAAACAAAGAGGCCCTACTCTACTTATGGCCATATTCTGTTTCAGTCATGAGCTTTGAGTAAATATACATGAGAATGATGAGTGACATTTTTCAAGTTTTGATACAAAATACAGCATATATCCTGTACAATGAACTTCAGTGAGCAGTGTGAGTGTGTACAGGCTTGATGGCATAACCTCTCTAACGGAACGGAAGGAGTTTCTGGAAGGCCAACACTGCCACCATGTGGACATGCACATGGCTGTTGCCAGAACCACCGCCTTCCTGGGACTGGGTCAACGTATTTTGTTGATCCTGTAACAACATTCCTGACAGAAAATTTAACCCTAACCATATCCCTAAACCTAACCCTACCCATAAGTTATCCCTAAAGTCAGAGGGAAATTATATTATGAATAACACTGATGTTGAAGCACTCAACCCTGGTTGTAAGCTGCAAACGTGTTCCTCAAATCTGATTAGTTGATTGGAAAGAAGTCGTCCATAACACAGAACCTGATTTCACCAAGTATAACATGTTCCTGGATCAACATCTTTGTTGATCCTGGAACAATACATCAACAAAGATGTTGATCCAGGAACATGTTGTACTTTGTTGTGAAATCAGGTTCTATTAAGGACTTCTTTATACATTGGTTTCTCAAACTGTCTGTCCATTAAACATACTTTGTGTACTTGTTGGGTCGTTTATTCTAGTTTTTAAGGGGAAAACAATGCCTCTACAAAACAGAGTAGACATAATATGCATAAGTATACATTGTCCAAAATAAATAAATAAAATTAACTTTTGAGAATTTGAGACAATATTAATCTTAAGAATAACGCATCAAGTGTAGCATGATTTGTTTCAAAGTCTTATTAAATATTTCTCTTCCTGCAAATCTTTGTCATTCCACACTCAACCTTTTTGCTAATATTATACAGAATGATAAATGAAATATGCATCAGCACCATGTCTACTGTTTGGAAAAAAGGCACTGCTATTACATATCAGACTTTCTGTATTTAAAAAATATGCAAATTTTGATATAAAAAAAAATGCTACTTAATGTTTCATTGTGATATAAACATTAGTAGACCAAACAAGTTTATGATCATTTAAGTGAATGCATGTATAGGTTGGAAGAACATAAGGCCGATAAATCAGATATATTCAACCAAAATGCATGTGTGGTATTTTATGATTTCATATTGATGATTCTTCCAAGTTACCCAGGTGAAAAAGACGTACTGTTAAATGTATTAAACATGCATTGAAGTATATTTGTATTGTGCTAAAAACATACTCAAGCACATTTTTAATTCATTTAATAGTGCGTCTTTTGGCAGCATTGTATTTTAAAATTAAACACCATCATGTTACAATGCAAAAGTATAAATGTTAAATTAGCACTTATCCAAAGAAACAGATGAGAAAAAAACTGTATCAAAAAAAAAGTTTATTTCAACATATCGTGGAGCTCTTTGATGTCCACTACCCCAAAATCAAATCAATCAAGCAGTTCTGAAAAACTTAAAAAACAAAATCCAATCAATACAGAAAGCATTACAAAGATCAACAGTAAAACATTGAGTAAAACAACAGGCTGAATCAAGCTCAATCCATTGTCAGATGACATGAACCGAAGCTTGCTTTAAACAACATTGTATTAACTGTATTATACATTTTTGCTCCTTTCCACAAATGAAGTCGTCCACAGAGAAAACTATCCAGAACTGGGTTTCAGGTGCACTGATGAACACTAAGACCATGCAAAATCACCCCAAATTCCTTTTTTATTTTCCTTTTTAATAGAATGATTGAATATACATGTCCTTAGATTGGTTTAGGCAGAGATGCGACTTCCTCCAGACACTCATCATAGGCTTCTTTATATTCATCATGCGGTTTGACCATGATAACACAAGTGGGTCGTTTGGATCCAGCTGACGAGCCCAAATCCTGCAGAAAGAGGGATACACACAAATGAGTATTGTAACTCTATACATTAAATTTGATTTGGAGGCAAACATAATACACTCCTGAACTTACAACTTTCGATGGGACATAAGCATAAGCCAGGTTTCGGTCTTCACACATGATTGGCAAGTGGCAATACACCTCGATGGGAAGAGTGTCTCCAGCAAATATCACAATACTAAAAGATGACAGAAAAAAAAGTGTTAAAATAACAAACATGTGGACAGCTGAACAAGTGACCATTATACTAAAACATGAGGAAAATGAACCCCATCTTACCCAGTCTCCCCTTTGTTGATAAACTTCTGTACCTCTTTCACTCCTCGTCGAATCTGTTTGACTTTAGCAGCTGTGAAAAACAATGAATAATATGTATTTAATGAATAACTGACTGGAACCACGTGCCAGTCAGTTATTCATTCAGTATATAACTTACAACTATATACAGACATGTTTAGTACAATTTTATTCAGATTTAAAGGAATTATAGTTAACGATTATATCGCGTGGGGAAAATTTAACAAAATTGTACCTTTCTTGACGCATTTGTAGAGCTTTTTGCTTAGTTTACGCGATGCAAGCGGGTTTGCGATGGGGTTTATATTAGCTATTAATTCTTGGTATGATTTTTCTGTTCCCCCGGTCTCTTCCTCGCCGGTTTTCTCCTTCTTTATCTTTGTCATTTTTCGAAATATGGGAAAGATATTACTAAGAGATCAATTTTGTGTAGCAGGACAGAACACACGTGCAGTGACTCTAAGCGTATTTCCGGTGTTTTTCACCACACTAGTCTTTCGGCGGCATATACTGTGAGTTCCGTTTGGAAACACTGACACCTAGTGCACAGAATGAACAAAAGATGAGATTTTATTCAGTCAAGGACACCTCTGCCTCGCACACATACACTCAAAACTAATCGTTTTCAACATTTACAAAGAATACATATGTAAAAACCTTATTTTAAACGAAAATGTAAATAGCTTACAGTTGTTCTCAGTTACCAAAAGAAGTAAACTAGCAGGGCAAAATATTACAAACAAAATAAATACATATAAATATTTTTGTTTACGTTATCTCCCAAACAACATTGTTCAATTTCACTTTGGACGCATATCTCATGTGCATTTCTCCTCTCCAAAAGAGAAAACTTCTAGCATTTCTTTTTGGGTAATGATGGCCTATAGCACATACTTGGCAAATTCAACAGCCAATAACTTTCCGGGAAGATTACAATAATGTTCTATATGTTAACATTAGTTAACATGACCTTACAAACAATTTTACTGCATTTATTAATAATAAATCATCATTAAAATTATAAATTATGAACTGATATGATGTAGAATGAATAGTATATTTTTAACTGAACATTAACCAAGATCAATAAATGCTGTAAACATGACTGTTCATTGTTAATACATGATAGCTACGTCATTAACTACTGTTAAGCATATAGAACCTTACAAAGTGTTAGTAACTTTCTAATAAAAGTCATAACTGCTTTTCCCTTCAAGCTCCGAAACTATTAATCACTTACAGAAACCACCATGACAAGGGTGTAAAGTGCATTTTTCAGAGTCAATTTAACACCATGATTCTTATTATACTGTCTTTAACACACACAAAACAATAACGAATCTTTCCAGACATGAAATTGGCATTGGACATTCTGTAAATCTGGGTTCAACATAAAACAAACAAAAACAAAACTAAAACACAAATAACACGGCCTAATTTATCTGTGTAGGGTTACAAGTTAGAAAAACATTTACAAATATATATAAATAACCATTACTTCAAAGAGTAAGTCAAATGTGTAGTTGTCTAGAGATGTAAGAAGAAAATAAGGCAAGAGAGGAGTGAACCAAGGGCCTGTCACTGCTCCTGTGTCTTCACAGCAATACACACATGGGCATGGCGAATGGTGCGTCCATGTAGCATATAACCATCTTGCTTGACCACAGCTATGGAGCCGGGCTCCACTCCCTCTGCTGGAGTATGACAGACTATTTCATGCTGATAAGGGTCATAGGTGGCTCCCACAGGGCTCATCTTCTCCAGTCCATGTTTGGTGAAGACGTCCTGCAGCCGCCCTTGTATGTGTGCCAGGTATTGTGTCAGCTGCTGCACTCCATCTCTCTCCTCAACTTCTGCGCTCTTCTCTATCAGGTCTGCAACCTCCACAATGTCACGGCAGAAACTCTGAATCCCTGCAGGAGGAGCATAACGTTCAATGCAACAAAGCAATGTCAACACCTATGAGCAATATGTGTAGCTAAATTAAAGTAGGTTACCAAATTGTTTGGCGTCCTCAACAAATTTCTGTGTTCTTCTTCTAACATTGTCTGAGTCAGCTAGGGCTCGTTTGTATCTCTCCTTTGAAAAGTACAAAGAGTTTGATTAACAATTACCAAAAGCAAAAGTGGAAAAACAGCTAAACTGCAGATACAACGTTGATTAAATTATTACGAATTTTATGGCTTTAATTTTTGAGACGTTTATTGTTTTACCAGTTTTCATCAAGTAGAGTATGTGTTAATTTATATGATAACAAAGTCTATAATAGAGATGCACCGATTGATCGGCTGGTGACCGGAATCGGCCGTTTTTCCCGTGACGGCCGTTTCACACCCCAAACGTGAGCGCCGCGTATTTTTCCGGCGTGCATGTAAATCAATGAGTGCATTCCCACCGGGAGCAGGAGCAGCGGTGAAGCGCGGGTTTCGGCGCAGAGTCTATTTTTGCTGCACTGCTCACGCTCAATTAAAGTGAAAGCACACTTTTGATGGACAAAATAAATATGATTTCACACAAAAAGTCCCCAAAATGCACAGAATTTGCATATCTGGTGTGTTTTAACAAGAACTGGAGTAGGCTATGTCAGAAAAGAAAATGAATTTTCTTTTTGAAACGAACACATTTTTTAAGTTGGATATTGGATGCGAAAAGAAGGAAATAGTTCTTCCATAACACTGCACTTTAGATGTGTGTGAATTTCCCACACCAGGAGTAATTTATATAGTCCTATTTTATAGCGATTACTGTTCAAAAAATGTTCTATGTAAAATGTTCTACTAAATATTTTTGTGTGCTGTAAAGTGGTTAGAAAAAATGAAATCGGAATCGGCTAAAATCGGTATCGGCAGGTCAAACTCTGAAAAATCGGAAATCGGCCTAGAAAATTGTAATCGGTGCATCTCTAGTCTATAATAAATCAGGAAACTGATTTAAGGTAAAATAAACCATGAGTAAGAGTTGACATAATATTGTCTTATAGGTGAAAGTGAAATAATTCTGATGAAATGTAAAAAATATTTTTTTTTGAATGACAACAATCATTGCGATTATAGTTGAGCAAAATAATCATGATTATCAATTGAACCATTCATTGACTAAAACTAGACTAAAATGCCCAGAAGGTTATAGGCCTGGTTTCACAGACAGGGTTTAGATTAAGCCAGGATTAGGCCTTAGTTTATTTAGGACATTTAAGTAGCTTTTATAAATGTGCCTTAAGACTTTTTTGTTTTTACTGGTGTGCATCTTGACCAACCTAGTCAATACAACAGCTGATAAATATCCCTATACAAACAGTACTTGACTGAATAAAAAAACAATGTGAATCTACCGTGAGGTCATGAACCTGCTCTTCCAGTTTTCTAGCTCTCATCTCCAACGTCCTGACATGTGTCACAGAGTGCCTGTGGTCGTCATCTCCATCGTCACCATGACAGTCGTCACCAGCACTGCGCTGTTCCGCTGCAGTGCTGAAGAGGCCTACAACGGACCTGGAGGAAAGAAAATTGCTAAGCATTATCACTGCATCAAAATGAAAATTGTATTTTATATTAGGAGGCTTCTAAAACCTGTAAATCAATCAAAATACCTCTTTTACACCACAGTTAAAGGACTATGGTATTCAGCATTATACTGAACACAATACTGCAATGCTTATGTAACATGTTTCTTTGTTTCTTCTTCTGCATAGAGATCTGATTGGCAAACTAATATTACACGAAACAACAAATTCATTTTTTATTTGACCCCAAAATGTGTTACATTGTCAAAACTTTAACCCGAAACACAGTGTTCTCTATGGTAGGATACAATGGAGATAAATACCCCTCAGGGTAAAAGGCCACTTGGATAATTGTTTTGCCTAAAACACTACACAGCACTGGTAATGCCACAAATAGTTTGGCATAAGTGGAGAGGAATGGATTTGTCGTGATGGATGTAAACATGTCACAATGGAGATGTATTTGTAAATTAAAATTATAGCTGATGTATACAGTAATGTAACAGAATAACAGAGCTCCACACAAGACATGCGGGGTAGTAGTCACGAATTATGGATTCACTCCCATGACTTAATTCATAGCCACATGACATGATGATTTAATAACCAATCAATTCCCACGTTTTAGTTCAAATATATATACTGTTTATTTCAATCGTCAGTTGTATCAATCGCTTATTTCAATTGTTTATTTGTTTATTTGACAGAAAACTGTGTTAATAAATATTAAATAAATAAAAAGCATAGTTTAAAAAATAAAACTTTGGGACAAGGGGAAAAATCAATTTTGGTTAAATTTGATCCAAAAGATCAGATGTGGCTGAAGTTTCTTGAGACAAAAGAGGGTTAGGCTTAAAAAAAAAATTTGTTTGGTTCCGGTTTCCGACCGACCCTGTCAATTTATGTGCGACCCAAATTTATTTTATGAGCTTGGGGAAGAAATAATAAAAATTAAATAAATACACAAATAAAAAACTTTGAGGCGAACTATAATTTACGTTTTTGTACAGCACGCGATGCAAGATGCCATCTGTTGTCCTCCAGCAAAACAAAGGAGGCAGCTACATGGTCGTTCACACATCGTTCGTCAAACTGAACTATAATACATATAGGCTACAAGTTTTTTTTTTTTTTTTTTTTGTCATTAAGGACACTTTTATTCATATACGCACACATACAAATGCATGCATTCATAGGCACGCACACACCACATGATGAGTTACAGAGTAACCTCCATCCGCCTCCCAAGTTTCATTAAAAATCATCCCAAATCCCAATACCCTCTTCTGCTGTCTACCACTTCTTTCGCCATGTATTTGTTCGTTTCTTTTATTACTTTATGCAATCCAAAACACTCTAACCTGCCGCGCTTCGTATCTCCAGAGCCCGTCTAACTTGTCCGCTTGTCCGCGACAAATGGATTTTTGAAGGACAAGTAAAAGAGAATTTTACTTGCCCGAACGGACAAGTAGCCTGATTAGAACATCAATAACAAACAAACAAATAACTAGGGAATCACTAAACCGAGAGAATGATTTTATTACATTTATTGTAAGTTGCGATCGATTGTGGATAATAAATGCATTAGCCTGCTGACGGTGAGGTGCGCTGTTGACGCTCGCGCAGCCTCTCGAGGAGAAATCTACACACATGAGCGCAGCACACATACACACACTCAGTTAACAACATACTGCCTATAAACAAATCTAAATGTGGAGTTTCTATATTTTAACATATGTGTTAAGCAGCCTCAATTATTTTTCCTGAATACCATATCACAATTGAAAATGTGACATTGATTTCCTACAACAGTTCAATAAACAGTTACAATTAAGTCACTTACATTTTAGATGCAATATTGGCTGTTTTTGTTCTGTTTCTGCAGCGAAAATAGTTCCAAACAAAAATCACAGCAGAACCACGGCGCATCTCACAGGAACACTCAACCTGTTTTCATTACTGAATGATTCAGCATTTTGACCGAATCGGTTGAGTCAAAGATTCAATGACCCATTCATTAACATCTGTCTCATTCTTGAATGAATCAACCGTTTAAACGAATCGTTTGAATTAATGAATCAATGACTCACTCATTAATACGGCCGCCTGCCGCCACCTATTGGCAGTTTAGTGTTATGTTTATAAGTAGCCTAGTATACTTCTTTCCGATGTTTCTTATTTGTACATTTAAATCAATTTCATAACATTATTTTATGCAATTGTAATTTTTCAGTGTAAATTATTTAATTTGATCAGCCCTACTTAGGGTAACAGTATGCTTCATCTTTCATTTTAAATTCCTAAATTTGATCAAGCAATTCAATTATTTAGAATAAGACGACACTATAGGGCATTTAATAAGATTGGGGGAGGGGATGCCCTTCAAAGGTGCAGATATTACAATATGCCAATTTAAATATCAAAGCTGATTGAACACTGATGAGAACATTGCTTCAGAATAAATAAATTAAAAAAAAATAAAAAAAATCCGGACAAGCAACTTTTTTACTCTGACAAGTGAATGACAGATTTACTTGTTCGGAGGGCAAGCACATGAAAAGGCTTAAGGTCGAGCCCTGAATAATTTCCTACCTATCCCTTGCTGCTGCCACTAAAAAAAAAAAAAAAAAAAAAAAAAAAAAAAATCCCTACCGACCCATGACCTCAACTGCCAACAAACCGGAACCAAACTTTTTTTTTTTTTATGCCTTATGTCGGCATGTGCCGCGAACAAAGAGAATCAAACGGAAAGCAATAAAGAACAATCATCATTTCGAGTAATTACACGCTCACTCCGTTTAACATGAATAGTAAATGAGCCGTATGATTGATGACTACACTAAGTTACATGAAAACACTAAACAAACCCTGAAATATTGAAAACCCATTAAGAGTCTTTGCCGGTGTAACTTACTTACTAATTTTGACACTATTGCAATACAGTTTGAAATAGCATTTGTTACATTTAATTTCCCGTTAGAAGGACAAAACGTTTTAAAGAAAGCCACATGTGATATTGAAGGTGCCAGATGTGATTGATGGGGTATTCTTGCTATGCTAAACAACTTGAAAACGAAATTTAAACTACAGAACTAGAAATGGTCGACGTGTTCGTCGTTTCTGAACAAATTTAATCTCGTCTGGGTTGTAAGTTATATTTATCGGTACATTGAGGTTTGCGTCTCGCTAAACCGTTAACTCAATCGTTAGCCAGTTAGCAGCGACGCTTCCCCACAACACTTAACGTTAAACGGTTAAATTGACGATAATATGAGCAAACCCCTCTTTTTCTCGCATTATTTGCACATTTATCTGAATATTACTCTATATATCATGTTTACCTGGTGACCGCACTTGGTGTCAACCTGCACAAATCGATAGGATATCTTCTCGTTGCGGTCAGAAAGCGCACGGCCATTTCCTCAGTAGCGTATGTGGGTGGTCGGGACGTGCGCGCGTGACCTGCTCGACGAGACACTGTTCAGAATCAGCGAGTCGATTCACTAAAACAACTCTGAATCTCGCTCTACTGGTTCTGCAAAAAAGTGAAATCCTACGTCTACGGTAATGTATCTTCTATTGTAAATCAATTAAATCAGACAGGTGTTGTTGTTTTTCTTCAGTACTGTATTTGACTGATTGAATTATACACTACACTCTGCTTCAGCTGGGTTGTAATTCCTTTGTGCCCCAGGCAAGGACCACCCACCCAGACTTACAGCCAACTCGGAGACAAATTGGGGTCCAGTGACCCTCAGGGGGGCGCAAGTGAGTGCTAGGAGGTCCGAAGAAAAGTCTAAAGAGTCTAAAATGTGTAAAAATGTCACACCAGGATGATCACATTTGGGGGTCCGTGGCATCTAAAAGATTGAAAACCTGTGCCCTAATATAAAAGGTCAATTTTATTTGTACCATGGTATTAAAAAGCATTTATGATATTAACACTCCACATTAACCACATTGAGAAATAGATGTAGAATGTATTTTTGAGGAAAACTTAATCCATGGACCCCCAGTTGACAACCCTGGATCTGCTTGATAAATGATTGATGAATTAATGCTGGTAACCCAAAGGCCTTTTTCTCCATTTCAGAAGCAAAGCCTATTTTAGTTGATGTTATTTGAGTGTAATCCACAATTCAAATGTAAAAAGACATTTTCTTCTATAAACAGAACTCCAACAAGGCCATTTCTGAAAACACATTTATTACAGTTACCAAGATATTGCAGAGGGTGAAAAAAAAACAATGATTATTTATGTACAAAGTAGAAATAAATAAATCTGGTAAATTAAGTGCCCTAGTATTAAAAAAAGGGAAAATCCTTTGAACTTCACATAACATATAAAAGAGGGAGATATTAACACTGTATCCCAGGACTGCACAAATAAATCAGCAGGAAGACCACATCAGTATCCTGTGGCATTATACAGTAAGAAGTGAAATGAAACAATTTCACAGAATTCAGGCACCTATTTTAACTTTTATATTAATCAAATATATGCTTATAAAACACTTTGTTTCCTGGACATTCCCTTATCCTTGCCATCTTCATGCAATTTTTATTTAACATTCATTTGTATTTACATACAGACTTCCATCATATGGTCAACTGTCCTGTGCATAAGTGTAGTGGACAGCCAGGATGATCATAGATGAAATCTTGCCTTTCACAGATCCACAGATCCTCTCTTGATGACAGCACTATAATTACATTACTTTCTTTGACTCCCATTCCTAAATATAAAATAAAATTTAGAAGAACAGAATTAAACAGATATTAATATTTACACATTTATCCATCTCAAGCATCAGTTTTGAATGCTTAATTTAATCTATATACTGTTAGACATTGGTTCAATCATATACCTTGGCTTTCTGCATGACATTTCCTTTGTTGGACGCATAGATGGACGGGGGACGTTTCTTCATTTCAGATGCACAGTTGACCGGCACAGTGGCATCATTGTAAATATGTTCCTTTTTTTTAACTGGAACCTACAGGTATTAAGATACAAAATGATGTTCACTGTAAATTCAGGTTACTTTGAGGGAAAAGCATATTTAGAGTCAAGAATGCAGGTACTTTAATGGTGGGTTTGCTTTCCACGGGTGCCCCCAGAATTCCTCCAGTCAGAGACTTCTTCAGTTTCTCTTTCACCTCCGTGAGTCGCAATTCCAGGTCCACTCGCTCAGCTTCCTTCTGACGGCAGCTTTCCTCCAGCTGGGCCAGATGCTGCTCCATGGCTTTCTGCTGTTTATCTGTTGCACATATGATATGAGCAAAACATATTACATTAAAGTGCCCCTATTATGCTTTTCGGATATTACCCTCCATGTAGTGTGTTACAGTATATAGCTGTTTGTGAATGTAAAAGGTCTGCAAAGTTTCAAAGATCAAAGAGCACGACAAATGGAGTTAATGTCTCCCAAAAGGACTGATTCTGAACTGCCTGAAACGAGTCGTCAGTAATTCCAGCCTTACTTTCCGCACAAACCTACGTAGGTCTGTAACAAATTTGTGTAATGCCAGCCGATGGTCTTCACTGGCTTCCGCGAATGTCTACTTTGACCCGCTCTCAAACACTGTAGTTCTAGCTGAGGCCTAAAAGAGTCTGGTTCATGTTGTCGAAATGCACTTCCTTTGCATGCACTTCCAAAGGATAAGGACTAGGGCTCGAATTGATACAGTAAAACCTACAGCTCCGTTACTGTTCGTATCACTGTATATACAAGCACTGAGGAAGCCTCCAGAGCTGAAATTCAGATGTGGTAATGGGCGTTTTGTTTCTGACACATGGGCTGCATCCAAAATCACAAACTCTCTTGAGTAGGTACTTATTTTGAATAAGTTTAGCCGCGTTTCCACCGCAATTACCAGGAACTATTTGTCCCAGGAACTTTTTTTGCCCCAGAACGGTTGCTCACTGCGTTTACACCGTGGACTAAAGTACCGGGAAGAAGTCTGGTGAGGTTGAACTGCGTCCGACTGCTCCTCCCAGTCTGCGCGTACTTGTTTTGAGTTTTAAGTCTTGAGGAGATTCAAGCTGTGCTGTTTTTGTGTGCGATCTATTGGTTTACTAACGAGATAATTAACAAAACGGCAGAAAAGAGACGAACACTAATACCAAAGCGTATTCATTTCAGAAAGCTCGTAATGCTAGATAGACAACGTTTGTTATCAGCTATAGCGGACATGACCGTGAGATGGATGGGACGAACGCGCGCCATCCGGCAGAGAGAACAAGGTAAAAGAACCAATCAGCATGTTCAGCGCACAAGTCCCACCCCGAAAGTTCCTGAACTCTGAAAAAGTACTACCTCGCCAGCAGGGACTTTCTGGGGGGGGGTTTACCCGGAACTTCATTTAGACCCTGGTTCCTCCGGTGTAAACACACGGAGTACCACCCCAAAGTTCCTAGTTCCTGGGGAAAGTTCCTGCGGTGGAAACGCGGCTTAATTACTTTGCGACCGTTAAAAAGTAAGTTCTTTATAGTATGAATGTGTGTAGTATGACTGTAATCTGCAAGTACTACATTCGCCATGTTGTCGTTATCATGTGACCTACCAGCATCAGCTGCACAAATCCTCTCCTGTGGCCTCATGGGATAGTAAAGTGTCAATCGTATGCAAACTTCATAAACTCGCCAGAAGAAGTAGGTCATCCACTTTTTGCCTATACTCTTTTATGAGTACTGTGAATTCGGACATACTTCTTTTTGTTAAATACTGTTTTTCGCCAACTATATAATAGGGAAGTATGCGATTTCGGATGCAGCCGTGCTGTAAGCGGTAGACCAATCACAACAGACTGGGCCATCTGACCAATCAGAGCAGAGTAGCACTCGGAAAGGTGGGCTTTAGAGAGACCGAATCCTTTATCGAACTGTTTCAGACACTGAGAAAAAAGGTAATGCTGCAATGTATACTGTGAGAAAATTAAAGTGTTTTTTGACCTTGGATGCATGTACAATTTTTGTAGGAGACCTCCAAAACAAAAATAGGAGTCTTTAAAATTGCATAATAGGGGCACATTAAATGAACAGCTCATGTAACTTGAAGATATTGACAACAGGTGGCGCCAAATACTGCAAAAATGGTTACAAGCCCCTACATGTTATGGATTAACACTCGGACAAGTCAATTCTCTTTCATTCTTTGAGTCGGTCACCTGTTGTGTTTTTCAGCCCTTCCTTCACCACCCTCTTTTCTGAGCGCAGTGACAGCAGGCTCTTCCTGATTTCTTCTTTTTCTTTCTCTAGCTGTTCTTTCTCATTGAGATACCGTCGTGCATCTTCTTCCGCCCTCGTCTTTCCATATTTACCGTAGTGATTCACAGCTACAACACAAAAACAAGACAAAATTGGTCATAATGGCCGTTCAAGATAATTTAATCAGTAAAATGATGAGGCAATGATTGCGTTTGTATTGACGATACTCAAAGGTCAACCAGAGAAGCGATTTTCCAATGAAAACAAACTTACAGGAACCGTGTCGCTTCACTGTGATCTGTGTGTCACCCGTGGCTGTATCCATACTGGACATAGAGGAATAACGCTTCAGTTTAGACTGATTCTCATCGACCTGCTGATGGAAAAGGGGGGGGGGGGGGGGGGGGGGGGGGGGCGGGATATATATATATATAAAGGAATAATTACAGTTTGTGTGAAAACAACCTTTAAGTACTTTATTTAAACAATCAAACTTCTTGGCTTCCAGTGTGATAGTATTTATTTAGGCATTACACAATGTGCTTATTTAAGGATTTTCTAAAGAAGTTCCTTTTTACAAAGGAACATGCTTACAATGACAGAAGATTTGTAGCTGACTAGACATAACAAAGACAGTTGCACAACATTACCACCCAACAAAGGAAGAAGTGGTTATTGCTGCCTAGTCCATAAAAATGAACTAAAACTCTGAGTGAACTGTGGTTATTCTAGCTGAACTGCAGAAACAACACCCATATGGGCCGAAACATGCTTTTCGATAGTTATATATAACCTCCCACACAGCAAATACTATGAGTTTTCATTATTCTCTTTGATCATGAACACAAGAACGTACACTACCATTCAAAAGTTTCATTCAAATGTTTGTGAATGAAGTCTTTTCTCACCAAGGCTACATTTACTTGATCAAAAACACAGTAAAAACAATGGATATTGTGAAATATTATTACAATTTAAAAATATAGCTGCAAGCAGCAATTATCGGGGCCAAGCGCAAGAAGACGGTAAGACATGCCAACATGGCTGGGAGACCAACTGCAGCAAGGAGCAATTAAACACATTTTAAGATGGTTTAAGGCAGAATAGCTGAATATAAAGAATAGCATTTATGAAATTTATGTGATGTGGTCAGAGTGAGGTGACAATGACACATACAAAGTTTGGTGTCAATATGTCAAGGCATTGCAGAGATAAAGCCTGAATAGTCATTTTGGCATCATGCCTCAACTTTGCTGCTGCGGTAAACAAAAATGGTTTCGTCTATCGACACGAAATCCATAACTTTTAGTCGCCACGGTCTGTAGATGATACGATTTGATTTTGGTGAAAATCGGACAAACGGTCTAGGAGAAGTACGAAACTACTACGAAAAAAAGTAGGTTTTAAAAGAAAATAAAGATGGCGGACAGGAAGTTTGGCTGACTATGGCCAAATTGGTATCTATGTTCTCGGCATAACCCAAGGAATCTAAGACCGGTGTCATTATAATAGGCAAATTTATTCAAAAGTTATTAGGATTTTGTAAAAATTTGTTATAACTTTTTTACCAAAAGGTGGCGCTTCCCCGAAACTTTTTTTGTACCTTCAAGGCATGGTGCCGATGACTCATACCGAGTTTCGTAACAATACGCTAATGCGTTCATAAAGTATAGCATTTTATATCACAATACTGTATTACTTAAGTCGATGGCAATTTCAAGTTTTGTTCTATAGCGCCAACAAGAGGCACAATCCCAAAATTTGTTTTATGTGTCCTCAGAGTGAGCCCATACATGTGTGTGTCAAATTTGGTGAAAATATCTCATTTCGTTTGGGAGTTATAGACATTTATATGTATAAACACATAAAAATGACCCACACATGACTTGGTTTGCATTTTCTTGCCACTTACTATTAATATTTTGTCATTTGGGCATTAACATTTAGCCAACGACCTATGTTTACAAACTTCCAATGGTGGTTTCGTCTCAATTGGTCTAACGGTTTCGAAGATATTGGCAAAAGTTTTTTAAGCGCTAAATCACAACGCTACACAAACTGTAAGGCGAAACCTAGCATGTTTGGTATCGTTTGATTCGGCAAGGATTGAGGAACCTAAGGAGATGACTCATGTGAAAATAAGTCAACCACACCCAGTTATAAGCATTAGAAAATTTGAAAACATTTTTCGTATCTCCAAGCCAGCAGGTGGCGCTGCGCCGAAACACAAAATGTAGCCTCAGGTCATGCTTGTGATGACATATACCAAGTTTGGTCTGAATGCGATGAAGCGTTGCGGAGATACAGCATTACGTCTGTTTTCGCAAGCACTACGTAAAATTAGTTTGCGCAGTATTCAAGAACGGTTTGACGAATCGACATGAATTCCATACGTTTTTGTCGGCATGGTCTGAAGATGATCTGGGCCCGTATGTATAAAACTTCTAAGAAATGATTTTAAGAATAGTCTTAAGCTTTGACTTAAATGTAAAAAAATACTTAGTAAAGAGTAGGACTTTTCTAAGAGTAGGAGACTTTTATAAAGCAGCTAAAAGCAACTTTCAGTAAAGTATAAGACTGATTCTTAAGTGCTGACTGAAGTGGGACTTAAGTGCTGCAAACTAAGGACTACAATGATGTTAACCAAAAATGGCCGCCCTCAACCTCTGAATCAGCTAATAGTGAGCCTGCAAGGGTGAGGTCACAGCAGCATGACACCAATTATTTAATGTAATTATAATAAAATAATTTAATTAAGACACTGAAACTTTAATATTTAAATGTATTTTTTTAAATGGCTTTGCATTGTGCAAAATTATCACAGCTTAGTATTGAAGGAAAATTGTCAGATTCACCCTTTATTCAAATAGTATTAAAAATGTGTTCAATATTTTGTAAGCGTATTGTGTAGTTGTGCCTGGAGTCAATTGTTTATTTGTGATAACACAATGAAACATTCCAAATTGACATAATTTTTAGCTAAGCTGTCATACAAATAAATTATGAACAGGTGAAAAAACAAGAGAGGAAAATCAAATATTAATAAATGATTATGTTGCAGACAATATATGTTTTTTTTTTTCTCCTGTGAGCTTTTTAATTGTAATATCTTTATTGTCCACCAAGGTGGAAAATTGTCTTTGGCTCACCAGCCATTAAAATAAATATATCATCACAGGTGCACTGCTGCATTTCTCCAGTCGCCAAAAATATAATTATTACTTTAATTTCATTGCTATGAAACTTTTTAAAGGTAAGTTACAAAAAGAATACCTTGATGATTAAACTTTTTTTTTTATTATTGTTTGATCAACTCATTTAACTACAATACATCATATTTTCGTTGAAAAGTGCATGGCCTAACCTCTCTGCTGCCATCTTGTTACTCCTAACTAGGTAAGGAGACTTCTCCAGCTCTCTTAAATAATTTAGGAGCTGAGACCAAGTCTTAGCACTTAGGAACTTTTATGAATCACACTTATTCTTAAGTTTAGGAATAAGAGTAAAATTATGTAATTCTTAGAATTTTGACAGACTTGAGACTAAAATTTTACTCTGAGTGGCTTTATACATACGGGTCCCGATTAAATTTTCGTGGAAATCGGAGCAACGGCCTAGGAGGAGTTCGAAAAAGTACGTTTTTCGGAAAATTCAAAATGGCTGGGAAAATGTTATGACGAAAAATTACGTCATATGGTGCAATCGAATCATTTTAAGCCAAGGAATCTGAGAAAATTTTGTTTCTAGCCCTTGAAACATGAGTGAAACTTTGGACATTTGGTGGCGCTAGAGGGATTGAGTTGAAGACTCCAAATTTGCTATGGTGACTATCCTCTATCTGTGTGCCAAATTTCATAACTTTCCCGCAAGCGGTTCTATGGGCTGCCATAGACTACCAGAGTGGAAGAAGAACGAAGAAGAATAATAAGAACGCCAACGATTTCAATAGGTGCCTCCGCACCTTCGGTGCTTGGCCCCTAATAATTGTTTTCTACTTAAAATGTAATTTATTCCTGTGTTCAAAGCTGAATTTTCAGCATCATTACTCCAGTCTTCAGTGTCACATGATCCTTCAGAAATCATTCTTATATGCTGATTTGCTGCTCAAGAAACATTTCTTATTATTATCAAAGTTGAAAACAGTTAATATGTTTTTGTAAACATTTCCATTTTTTCAGGATTCTTTGATTAGAAAACTCAAAAGAACCACATTTATTTTAAATATAGAATAGTTGTTGCGGAGAGGCTCGATTTAACCGAACAACACTAAACAAAAATTACTAAAAAAACAAAACATTTTTAATCTTAACAGCTTACCAACACACTTTCATAGGGAACTTCGTCGTAAGTCCGTGGGTCTGTGGATGTGCTGCTGGAAGAGGTCGCCCACCTAAGGCATACAAATTGAACAGAATTAGCATACAAATACAATAAATTCTACTATATAGTGAATTTCTATACACATCCCAACAAACAGGCTAAATATACTCAATTCTACTCACAGAAAAGAGTGTCGTGCTGCGTTCTGGATGCTGCTGATGGTGTCCACATCCACATAGTCATAATGCAGTGCCTCAGGGGTGGTGACACTGCCTGCTTCAGCCAACAAAACCCCCAGCCAGCGGCCCATCTCCACAGAACAGCTCGCCTAAGGTTCATTATATTACACAATTACCCATATTTTTTAACGAAAAACCTTAAAATTCAACAGAGATCCATTTTATTACCTCCAGGGCGGCCACTTCTGTGCTCGCTCGCATGATACGGAAGGCAAAAGGATGTTTGGGCCCAAGACCGGGGAAGACGTCTACACCATGGAGGGCTAAAGAGCTAACATGGGTGTGAATATCCCCTCTGTCCTTATGGAAATATAGAGTCCCATTCCTCACACAACACCAGCGCTCCTTCCAACACTGATTCACCAGGACATTCAAGTAACCTAGGAAGAGACAAATCCATCAGGGACTTGCAGGAAAGCCTCAACAGATGAAAAAGATCAACAGCTAATTGCAAAGGGATGTATGTCTCCTCACCACAACGGGGATTGTCATCCAGGTGGGAAAACGTGTTGGTTTCGCCCGGCAGAGGCGGCTTCTTCTTGGAGAAACTGATGATGCGGTTGATTTTCCTGCCAGCAGCTCGACTCATAGATCCAGTCAGCTCAGAGAATGTCCCTTTCTTGCCCTTTCCTACAGGAAAAAGCACAGGAAGCATCATAAGAGGATGCATATAGTGCAAGGACAAGACACGAAACACATGTTTGGATTCTACTTACGAAAATTCCTTTGAATTTGGAAGTTTTATAATAAGATGATTTAATAAAAAACTATGGATGATATCAATAATTCAATATTTTTTTCATTTTTGACCGATAAAAATAAAGGAAATGAGTAAGCATTGTTCTCCATATAGGCCAATATCGATAAATAAAGCAATAAGCCCTAATAAGCCGTGGTTACATTGAATTCAGAATCAGAATAGCTACAGACGCAGAGCCAATATAATGTATATGCCATTATAAAGCCTAAAAAAAAAAAATCACACACACAAAAAGATGTGACATACTGAAAGGGACAAACTTTAACCTCAGGACACATCAAAGACACAGGAAGTACTGCAGAGAGTGGCTACATCCTTCCTGAGTTCCTAATGCCATTGTTTCAGAGTGACATCACAAAACTAACAAGAGGAAACGTGCTGCACCTGGAAAACCGACTCTGACCCCAAAAGCATTCACTATGCCAACTCAAAGAAGCTCATCGTTTATGTCCATACCGTTCTCACAGATCTCGCGGGTAACGTCGCCATTGGCTGCGCTGTCGGAATCAGAAGTATGTTTATCTGGTGACATCATCTGTAGGAACCAGGAAACAGACGGAATAATTATAGGGAGCACCACACTGGTTATGTTCATTTCTACATAGTAATCATTATAGTTTAGGTGTTTAGAGGCTACTGGATGCTAGTAATCCGTACAGACTTACTTTATCCAGCTCTAGTTTTCGCAGTATCATCGGAGAAGACGAGATCTCTTTTCCATTAATGTTTTTTGCCAGGTTACTCGCATCCTGAATGACCTACAGAGTTTTAAAAGAGGAGAGTCATACAGCTAAAAAAAATTTGATCGATCCAGGTTTTTTAAAGAGGTCATGAACTGCATTTTTTTTTTAATGTTTCCTGAGGTCCATTTATAATGTTGGTATGATTTTTTTTTGCCTCTGATTTAAACGCTCTGTTTGAAGGAGCGTGTCTGCTGTGAGACTTCAATGTAAACGCCCTCTGCTGTGATTGGCTAACATCTTTGTATATGAAATAAGTATTACATGTGGAACTCTCAAAATCTTTTACTACGGTTTTACTATTACAGCTATTAAGATTGACTAGCGATGAGTATGCAGTGATCTCGTCATTGCAACTTGATTTCTGTACTCTCACGAATGCTTTCATCATAAATAACAGTTCAAACATGATGTAAATAAGAGATTCATTGTGCAGTGTAGACAGCGTCATTGATTAGTAACGGGAGTTTTGACGAGAGTCCAGAACTCAGTCACTGATAAACTCGCGCTGTGTGATTGACAGCTCCAGCGATTATAAATGGTGCTTTCTTTGATCACGTTCTGAATATAATATAATCCTAATTTTAAATAACAGAACATTTTCATGCTACTAACAGAAACAATGTGAAGTTGACCGTTTATTCACTGGCTTGATTTACTGACACATAAACAGCAATAAACGATTTTCAGACAGTACATGAATCACATCAGAAATACTGATCACAGATTAGGCATTACTGTCAGGTCCATATCTTACAGTAAAAGTCTGTTTGCAAAGCCAGCACCCAAATGCGACTGATTTACCAAAGAATCCACAGTGAAATGTACCAAACAAACAAAAGAGGTTCTAATCAGACATTCGCATACGGTAATTGACTTTCCCAAATAAACAACTATCTTTTTTAGCATTAGGATCCTTTGGAATGTAATGCTATTTTTAGTCCTGTGATCCAGTATCATCTAATGCGCCAGTGGGCGGGGCCAAACCCGCAATGATGAAGAAGTAAACTTTGATTTGATTCTGCAGAGGCGGTCTTTCGTCCCACTTTTACATCATAATGTGACAAAATCCGAAACGAGTCGTTTCCGGAGCTTGTTTTTTTTCCGTAGCTGAAACTTACAGGATGTTTTTATAAACCAATGACCTCTTACATGTCAAAAGATCAAGGAAAGTTTGATTTCACAATTCATGACCTCTTTAATCTGATCTATGACACTCCGTGAGGTCTGAAAACTGTGGGAGCTTGTTTCTGACACTGAATAAAAATAAAACTGCTACTTTTTATCTCACAATTTCAAGTTTATATCAAACAAAGCTTCCATAGAAAACAGCAAGTCAGAGTATTGAAGCGAATGAGTTTACTAGCATGACTGCTATACAATTACCTGTTTTTGTGTGATTTATCATTGATTATTATTTGGTCAAAGGTCTGTACAATTGTCAGAGGAAAATGACTTCCAGAGTTCCCAAACCTTTTTACTAATGGGTTATTTTTTTATTTTTTTTATCATTTCATAGATATTGCACTTTCAAAAAAAAAATGTTTTTTGAGTAGAGCATCAGTGTTAACCTATTAACAAAAAAAGACTAAAAATAAATTGAAATAAAGCCTAAATAAAATAAAATCGAAAAATTAGATGAAAAACTTTAATGAAAATGAGAAAATTTGCAACCTACTGAAATAAAATAAGCTGAAGCTGAAGTATTAAAAACTAAAACTGAAATAAAAATAAATTAAAGCTAAATAGAAATATTTTTTTTTAAAACTCATAAACATGACAAAAGCTCATAACAAAATGATTAAAACTTAAAATAAAATAAAAATGAAAACTGAATATATAAAAATGCATTAGAACTATTAATAAATACTATAAAGTATGTAAATACTACTAAAAATAAACGTACATTCACAATAACATTTCCATGACGTTTCCATGATATTATTAATTTCAATATCTGTTCATGCCTAGAAATCATGATTTCCTACTTTATCTGTGCATGTTTCATGACTTTCTCTCACATAATTAATAATAATAATAATTTAAAATCAAATCAGTATTCCAAGACAATGCATTTGTTTATATAATTTGTAAATAGCCATTATAAAATGTTATATTTTGCGGTGAAGCACCTTGAGCCAGCTCTCTGCCTGCTCTTTGCTCTGCACAGCCAGCACTAGAGCCTCTCCTCCCGGCATGGAGAAACGAAGCTCGTCCTTCTTGCGGCGTCCATCTTTAGGCACATAGATGACATTGCAGAGATTCAGGGGCAGATCAACGTGTGGAGAGCGATCTTTGGGATTCTTGAAGCACTGTGGAGAATAAATGCCAAGTTTAGAGCTTGGCAAATTAAAAATACATTTCTATCGACCAGATGTTTTCGATGTGCGATTCACCTGAAGTCTGTTCTCTCGGATGATTGTCAGCTGCTTAGCCCACTGACCGAAGCGTTTCTTGCGCAGCAGGAAGGCGCATTTGCGGCAGTCTTTCATTTGGCCCAACGGACTCTCCTCTGAGGGCCACGGGTGCGTCCTCTCTCTGCTTTTAGCTTCCTCATCCTCTTCATCGTAAGACTCATAAGAACTGCTGAGTGCATCTGAATCATTGTCTGTTGACATTAACAACTATTAAAACTCCACACAAATATAGAACATTTTGATATGCACAAGCATGAAAACCAGCACAGGTTCCTTACAGGAGTTTTTGCTGGCCCCGTTCAGACGAGTTGTCGGGTAATTGTTGTCAGCGTCTTCATAATAAGCATCCTCTATTGAATTTGGAGGGCTGGAGTTGTCTGGTAAATAAGTATACTGTGTTAGGTTTCATAACTGGCTGTTATTGTGCCATCTTAGGCTTGAATGTGTTCGCACTTACTGCGTGTAGATATATACTGGGGCGCTGTGCCCGGTCCGAGCGGGACGGCTTCTTCATAGTAATCATCCGGAGGAGGTGTGGTAGGAAGGGGGGGAGGTGTGTCTGTGGGACTCTGACAAAACAAAACCAATAATTATTTCATTCAATTTTGCATGCTTAAATGAAAGGGTTATGTTTAGTTTCACTGCGTTTGGTTTCATTTTTAGTCAGTACTATGTTCCCGTTTTGCCTGCGTCCTGCGTTCCCTAGATAGTTTCCTTGGTTATTAATTAGTTCCTGCACCTGTTCTGTTTCATGTTAATTACTCTCCTTCTGTATTTAAGCACTTAGTTCTTCCCAGTGTTTAGTCTTGCGTTAACGCTGCATGTTCAGTTAGTGTTTATGATTCCTGTTCCTGTATTCTCTGTATTCTGAGGGTCAGACTCTATATTAAATTTTCCGTCGTTGTGTTACTAACCAGCATTACGTAACAGAAATACTTTTTTTTTTTAATGATTCTTATTTGGCATTTACTGATTGTGAAAAGCAAACTTATTTTTATATTTATTTTTAAAATAATTTTAGCTGCTTTAGGAATACACTACTGTTCACGGTCGGTATGATTATTCATGTTTTTGAAAGGCTTCATTTATTTGAATGAAATAAAGCAAAAACAGTAATATTCCTGTAATGGTAATTTACAGCATCATTACTCCGGTCTTCAGTATCACATGATCTTAAGAAATCAGTCAGATTTGCTGCTTAAGAAACATTTCTTATTATTATCAATGTTGAAAACTGTTGTGCAGCTTAATACTTTTACTGTGAAACCTTTTTTTCAGGATTCTTTGACGGACAGATTATTTGAAATAGAAATCTTAACGCGTCCCTTGTCGAATAGAAATATTTATTTTTAACGGTAGTGTATGTTTTTGCATTTGTTACATATTCTGGTACCGATTTTGTGGGCAAGTGTTTGGACGCCTCCTCTTGCTCCACATCTTTTATCTCTTCAGGCGAGTCCCTGAGATCCTGCAGATCACAATCTGAGAACAAACATCAAAACTGAACAATTACAACAGATGCAATTCATAAAACACCGTAGGAAAATGATTAGAACTAACAAAGCTGCCATTCTTTTTTACTATTTTTTTGCAGCACCTACTACAAGTATTTATATATTACAATGTTTTAGACACTGTTGAGCAGTTTGCAAAACTCAGAATTAAAAACTGGGGGGAAAAAACATGAACTCACCAAATTCTTCAAACAGTGATTCAACAAAGCTGGTACCATTTCCATAGAGAGACGTGTTCATGTATATGAAGTCAGATCCATTCACTATAAATGAATAAATAAATGTACCCTTTATACATACATTTTTACATAAAACTCAACATAGAACATCATTAAGACAATCACATTATACACTTTATTCCTATAATTTTTTAGGATAACTATTTTATTTAAATAGTCCTTTTCTTCAGAGTAACTTTGCTGCCTGAAATACCTTTACATTGCTATAATTATTAATATGTGAATCCCTTCAGCAGGGCCGTGGCCAATAGGTTCAGCTCAGCTGTTATGTATTTGCTGTTCAGTCTCACCAGATGGCTGCAGCTGTTTGACCAAGTTCCTGACCACGCTCATCTTCTCTGCGGTGGCTGAACTCACGCTCTCGTTCTCCAGCAGCTTGAGAAGCAAACTCAGCTCCTTCACCAGGTGCTCCATACCTGCACAGAGATTCCAGAGAAGGACAGGATCAGTAACCAGAAACATGTTTGCAGAAGATGACAATCACTAGTGGGCTTAGACTTTTGGACCCCATTGCATTTATATACATCAGATGGTCTAAATACACGCGCAATTGTTTATAAAAAAAAAAAACTTTTCTTTGCATTTATTTTCTAAGCATGTTACTAGGAGTTCCTGGCCATTTTCATTCAGTCCATTTGACCTTTTTAAAATCCATCAGGAGGTCTCAGCTGTTGGACATCTGATTTCTTTGGCTGTTTGTTGAAGAAACCTTGCCAAAATGCCAAACATGATATACTGAAGGTTTAATGCAATAAACAAGCAAAGAAAAGGGGTATGACCTGAATTGATTTCTTATGGTACTGCTCTTCCAAATCTGTGTATGGTGAACAATAGCTGCAGTGTTATGAATGGCCTAACAAACACAGGAAACAAGAAACCCCCTAAAGAGAAAGAACATTTTTAGAAAGTCCTGGAATAAGAATTTACATCATTTATAACGGTTGTCTGTAGGTGTGGACATTTCTCACTATTAATTTTAAGAAGGAAACCTGAATTTACAGACCTGAAATGAACAGTTAGATACTGGTTTTAAAATTCTGATTAACATTTACTGATGATTTAGTACTTGTGTTCTCTTTGGGGTCTAAGAAACTCAAACTATGAAAACATAGTTTTTACAATGTTATGGGAACTCATCATATATAGCATGCAATAACAAATCCAAACAATAACCATTGCTTGTGTTTAGGGTCTCAAAGAGCCCAGGAAAAAATTTGTTTAAAATAATGATTTAATGAAAATATTTAATAATTATTATAATGTTTAATTTAAAAATCAATTCACATCTTAAGATTTTCTGACTGGTTTAACCACTATAAAAGTGAACTCCCACCAGTTTTAATTGCCAGACATTAATTATATTTTTCTAAAATGAGCTTTTTCTCATTTTAAAGTGACTGCGTGTCTGCTAATTTCAATACTTGTTATGTTCAAAGTGAGTAAATAATTGTGGACTGCTTGTTGGCAGTCAACTTTTAGTTTCTATCCTCACGATACATTTCCTCATTTCACTGTCTTGTCTTGTCAGTTGAATTCTGGCAGAGCCGGTTCGATCAAAGTCACCTGAAGCTATTTCAGTAAAACTGTGACATACACAAGACTCACTCTACGATGTAATCATATGACACAGATTTTGTTAGATTGCACTTTGAGAATAATGAACTGGGCAGCTCTGCTCACATTACTGGACAATATAGTAGAAACACTTAAACAGAATGGATCGTTATCTTTATATTAGCTTCTAGGACAGGACATAGTAAGACAAGATATAAAAAGACAGCATAGTAAATGCAAAACAAGTCTGAAACAGACAATCAAAACAATCGAACAAGAAAGTTTGGTTTTATAGCAAAGTATTTGTTGGTGTGAGGTTGTGCTGTGCATGTGTACCTCTCTATCTTTCAAGTCTCTAAATATGAGATCATTTAAGAAAGAAGAAGGGAGAAAAAGAAGAGATCTTAATACGGCTTCAGGACTTTTACTGCTTGAGTACACTCAACTTATGGAAAAACTGTTGTATCAACTTTACAATTAAAGTTAAACATAATATAATAAGTTCTGTGAACTCAAAAATATTGATGTTTTAACTTGTGGATCCAAATTGTCACGGTGGCTATAATGATGATGAAAGACCTAAGGACACTCAGGGCTTAAATATGGTGAACGTAATCAAAGACAAACAGAACAGGTGTGTGTGGAAACTATTTTAACCATTAAAAGGGATTGTATGAGCAGTCAGTTCTCAAGTGCATAAAACAAAAGAAATTGTGTCAACCAAGTAGCTGAAGTTATATATATATGTATATATATATATATAATATATATTTATGTATAACTATTTTAACAGCCAGGGAAACTAACTAGGAACTCAGGGAAACAGGAACAGAGCAAACAGAGTAAAAACGATAAACAAAAACAGAACATAACAGAATATACACGTTACACAAATTCAATAAGCTTGTATTTTGCATTAACATTTCATAATAGTGACATACAATAAAACTTCCATAAGCCCTATATAAAACTAATACAAATACAAGTATAAAATTAATAAATATAGAGCCAAATCGCGGAAACTGCGAAGACTGCCCATTTCAATATCAGTGTCAGGTAAGATACTTGTCTAGATGTCTCTGCTCACTTATGTGGGTTTATTATGAACAGCCATGTCTATGAACTCATATGAAGTTTATTTCAATAGGGAATTAATAATAAATTAAAGTTATATCAATAAGTAATTCAATACGTAATGCACGCAAGCACAGCAGATGACCACGTCTAGAAAACACACACACTCCCACCTCTGTAATAAACACTGAGATGTTAGTGCTGTCCGAATCGGTACATGAAATCCCAAATGTCGGGTGATAAGAACTGTAACTCAAACATTGCTTGGAAAACTAGTCCCGTCCGAATAGGGTATTGGTTTGTCTTGTGTATCAGTTTGTTGAGCAAACTGAAAAGCTGGCACCAAAACAAGTTGTATAAACTCATTGAAATAGAGGAAACTTTACAGAGAGACCACTAATCACTCAAATGGTGACTTGAAACATAACTTTTACAGTAAAATATAATCAAAACACAACATAGAGCTGTTAGTAGAACCACCACTACCAAACGTGACATTGCAAGTTCTTTCTGTTTAATATTTTAAATAGGCATGCACGCAAGGGCGTAGATTTGGTTTGAACATTGGGGGGTTGAAGTTTGGGTATGCCTCCTGATATTGTGATCATGGTATAAATAATGGGGGGGGGGGGGGGGGGGGGTTGTAATGCATAGATTTAAATATTGGGGGGGTTATATCCCCCCCATCCCCCCCACAAATTACGCCCCTGCATGCACGATATATCGGCCACCATATCGGTATTGTCACGGAAGCGCACGGCGAGGAAGAAATGTAGGAACAGGCAAAAAGCATCCACATATAATAGATGACACATCGAATGATAGAAGTTCATTTTTAATGTTATTGTTATCGGCCCAATAAGAAAATTTGGTCGATATATTAAAGCCGATAAATAATGGTTTATTTCCTTAATCTGAGACACTTCAGAAGCACACTTTTTGAAATATGATAGGATTCACTTCAAAAAGGAAAATACAGATCTGTCATATATAGGCTATAGGCTACATAAAATTATAATGAGAACATTAAAATTGTGTGCTTAGGACATGGCTTTTAATGGTGAGACTTTTGTTTTTGTAATCAGGCTCTTAAATAATTATATAAACATCTGGATTTGGATTTAGATTTATCGGCCAATATATCGGTTATTGGCTTTCAAATATAAAGAATTGTCGGTTATCGGTATCGGCCTAAATGTTCATATCGGTGCATCCCTAATTTTAAAGGAACACTCCGACTTTTTGGGACTTTAGCCTATTCACCTTATCCCCCAGAGTTAGATAAGTCCAAACATACCTTTTTCATCTCCGTGCGTGCTGTAACTCTATCTGACGCACCCACCGCTAGCCTAGCTTAGCACAAAGACTGGATGTAAATGGTTGCAGCTAGCATACTAATCCAAATAAGTGACAAAATAGCGCAAACATTTTCCTATTTACATGTTGTGATTTGTATAGTCACAGAGTGTACAAAAAACAAAGTCACATGAGACACAAACATATTTTAACCGTATAAATACTGGGAACTATATTCTCTGAAGGCGAAGCACTGCTACTTGGGCGGAGTGATAACCGCAGCACCTGAGACGCGCCGTGGTGAGGAGCAGAGAGTTCGTTCAGAGTGTTGCACTAATCACTCCGCCCAAGTAGCAGTGCTTCGCCTTCAGAGAATATAGTTCCCAGTATTTATACGGTTTAAATATGTCTGTGTCTAATGTGACTTTGTTTTTTGTACACTCTGTGACTATACAAATCACAACATGTAAATAGGAAAATGTTTGCGCTATTTTGTCACTTATTTGGATTAGTATGCTAGCTGCAACCATTTACATTTACATTTACAGTTGCACATAGAAAATTGACTTTATTTAATTCCTTATAATGCCAACCTTTTCTATATTCGATAGTTCATTCAAGATTAAACGTTTAAAATATAGTTTGTCAGACAAAATTAAAGTTTGGATAGATCCCTCTGATCATCCCAAAAAGGATTAAATCTCTTCCTCAAAACAGATTAAATTTATCAGTCACACATCTTTCACATGTAAGCACTTCACACCACACCTGGACCCTGCTCAAGAGGGAGGGATGGGAAAGCAAAAATCCCTCTTTCAAGGCTATACCTGCCACTCATTATAGATTTGCTGATCCAGGAATTATTATTCTTGGCCAAAAGTAATTACTGCAATATGTGACCTTTCTTTTGCTTCTGCCCTGACAGGGTTTTTTCTATCTTTCTGGACCAGATCAAAAAACCTGTTGCATAGCTCATGATGTTTCTTTTCTAGACCCTCACCGCTCCGAAAACAAACGCTGCTTTGAAGTGAGGGTCACAAACCGCTGTGCAAACAGGGGGAATTCTAAATAACAGATCTTTTCTGCGTTTGCACTTCTATTTCAAGAATCATCCTGTTCCTTGAATATTTATTGGTGTGTAAAAGTCCATGTTACACAGTACACACACATAATTTAAAGCTGATTAAAAATGATTATGCTGCAATTAAATATTAAACAACATCAATGAAAGACTGTAAGAGAACTTGTGGCAGCATATTTACTTAGAGGGCTGTACAAATTTACTCTTCAGTGAGTCATTTAACAAAAACCCTAATTTAAAAAAATACAACCCATGTGTAAGATGATGTGAAATGTGCCAACAAATGGAAACACCACAGAATACAAACATACGGCTAAATGTACAAGAATTATAATCATTTAGATAGTCAGCATAATCAGCTTTAATTATTTAATTTAATTCTAGAATAAATGAAAACATATTAAGTGACTT